CCCCCCCCCCCCACTTGCTCAAAAACTTGCTGCACGGTCACTGTCAGTTAGAGTTTAGAGTTTTCTTTTCACTGGAAGAACAGGCACTTGCTCAGAAGGAACACCGTTTACAAGAGTAGGAGATAGTTCATTTGCGTCTTGATGTAGATGATGTGTCTCCTTGGAGTCCAGATCCTTTTTTTCAATCAAGAGCACCAAAGTGTTTCGTTACAATTATGTCCAATAACTCTGAAAGATCAACTTCTGTCTCCTTCTCGTGTTCGCGTGCTTTCTCGAATTCTACTCTTTGCTTTAGTAGTTGCCGCTAAAACTTCCGATGTTCTTCTCGTGTTCCTCTATCGCCTCGCACACTTTCTCTCCGAGGTCTATGGTTTTTATCGCGTCTTGAATTCTTCTTGTTGTGTTATCGGCTCTCTCAAGATTCTCTTTAATTACTTTACCTCATAGCGCGATTTCTTCTTCGCTCTCGCTTTTGCCGATTTTCGAGGGTGGCTATGGATTTTTGAGTGACACGTGATGGCCCCAAAATTTGTGGGGTGATGCGTGATTGAACCCAAATTATCTGCGTGATGCGGGACCGGACATCACAACGTAATGCGTGATGTGCTATTTTATAAGCGCATGACGCGTAATTTACAAGACTTACTTTGATGTCATTGATCTCTCGAGATCTTCGTGGTCCAAACAATCGTAACACCATGGGTATTAGTTAATATAGTTGACATATGCTCAAGGACTATGACCTTCAGTGTTATTTTTGTCGACCGCCTGGTAGTGGTAGTGCGTCAGATCGTATCTATAAAGACCAGAAAGGATCAAAATACATGGAATGAAAGATCTGAAAGAATGTCGAACCAAACAGCCGAAACGGTAAAAGATGTTAGAGTGTTGGTGTCATTTTATGCCGCCCGAGGAGATGGTAATGTGAGCAATGAGCCAGTACACAAGGAAAAATTTTGCGTACCAGGTAGTGATCTTCAGCTCGAGTAGCTTTATTTTGTTGTCCAATTCTGTCATCTTCTTTTTCATAATACAACTGCTTGGGTTCTTTGCTCTTGCTCGAGCGCTCTCGCTGGTTAAAACCTGTCCTGTCGAAGGTGTCACTTTGTGTCGTAAACTGGTTTCATTAGAGCAACAAAAACCTCTCTCGCTTACACAATTATTCTGAATGAAGACCAGTTCGCTTTTATCTTTTCTCTCGATTGATTTCTTTTCGTGTAATATAAACCCATTTTTGCCATAGTGCTTAATGAAAATCGCATTTAGGTGACACGCCTTTAAAAATGTCAATCTTAATAACACGTCCTCTTGCTTCGTAACGACATTTCACAAAATCACGACAGAAATATGAGCTACATGTTTATACATTTCAGGAACTAATGAGAGATTATTATTATTCAATTTTGTCAAGAAAAGCCTTGCTGAGAGCAGTTAAAGGATAATTTCTTTTCCCTAAAGAACCAGAATTTGTTATTGAACCATAAATTCAACGACTAGCCATTACTAAGCGAGCAGTTTTTTTTTTAACTATATCATTACACGCAATTAGGGAATGGTTAAAAACTTAAAACTGCTTTAATTAAATTGACATGCATGTGTTATCATATAAAGGAGTAATTTGTACTTGGAATCTAAATTATAAATAACACGAAAATTTACCATGCTTTGTTTGACATATTTTTTGTGAAAAAATGGGGTAACTTTCTTTAAAAGAAATTGTGGTGCTGCGTCAGTGGGAGAGTTTAACAGGGTAATTTAGTATTATCCATTGAGTTTATAACGTAAATTGGCCACTGTAAAGAGTTTAAAAGCTGACGTTTCGAGCGTTAGCACTTAGTCAGAGCAATTGAAGAAGGGCTAACGCTCGAAAAGTCAGCTTTTAAACTCTTTACGGTGGCCAATTTACGTCATCAACTCAGTTGGTAATACTAAATTACCCTGTTATATTCTTTGTGAGTTTCTTACCCTTTCAAGCAAGGTGAAAGCCGGTTTGGAAAAAGGTTTGAAGTTGATTATTGTAAAGCCTGTAAGTTGACAAATTTGTAGTTATTTGTTAAAAAGAAAAATACAAGTGAGCCGATATTATAACACTATCGGATGGAATGGCTTGAGTCCTTTCTGGCCATAAGTGCTCCAACTAATCATATGTTTCACAGTTAATTCTTGTGACCGAACTTGTTTCTTTTTTCTCCTTTGTCCTTTTCCTAACTCTCCTTCAAACATTTTTTACTCGAAAAAGTTGAGTATCTCTGTTTCAAGAGTGAAAATCTTAGACTAGAAGAGAAGAGGATAATAATAACCATCAGAAAACCTAAGGGGAGCACAATCTCCCTTTCATATTTACAGTCTGGCCCAAACCTATTGCAGTCCTTTGTTGCTCTCAGGGAAACCAACAAGACACACCTACCCATTATGGGTAATGTGAAATACGGATTAAAAGTGAACTCCCAATTGATAGGAACTGGGCTACTTTTTGAGCAGTTTTCGATTGATGAACCCCCTATCAGGGTGATTCGTTACCCATAAATGATGCCAACTTGCCTTAAAGGATGGCTTTTCACTGGATATTCAGAGAGAGGTGAAAATATTTGGCCTTTTCCAATTGCAATATATTGACTTAGATCCTTAAAGCGATGAGGAAGAGGATGTTTTACTCTCATTTCTCAAGTGTATTTATGCGGGTATTACTGCGAGGCCTAAGGGGATAAGCCGTTTATTGTATTTTATTGCCTGTAAGATATGACGGAATGTTGGGGAATGTTCTTGATCAAAGCCATATAACTCTATAAATAGTAAATTTTGAAATCATTATTTCCTTCCCGAGGAATGTTCCAATCCTTAAAAGTAGCAAAAATTAGTTATCTTCTGAGATTTAAGTCATCTGAGATGTTAGTGTCTGTAAAATATGATAATTAATCATTATTCTGTAAAATGAAAGCCTTTCACAATTTATGAGAAACACATTACATCGTGCTGTATTCTTGTATGGTGCAAAAATAAAAGTTTAATTCAAATAGCGCGACATCTTATTTTTTTTCATTTCTTGATTTACTGCAATTGTTTTGTCTCGCACACATTATAAAAGATGCGAAAACTGCTCAAAAAGGTTTTCATTTCGCGAGTCAAACTAAAAGCCAAAGTCCATTTTGCACGTATTGCTTGCCCGCTGAGTCAAACTGTTGCAAAGCCTCAGGGATTGATGGGATACAATAGACAAGTTTGTTGACTTAGACTTGGTTTGTGCCAAATTCCTTTTCTTTTGGATGCGGATGTAATAATATGGCTTACCGTGATGCAAAATTTGAAATGGTAAGTACAGACTCTTAAAAATGGTTGATAAAAGTTCTTTAACTAAGAGCTAATGATAAACTAATGTTTTCGATCTACATTCTTCCGAAACCGGAAGAGGTAATTCTATTTACAAAGTACTTTGAAAGACGGTGATACGTTGCCACAAAAAAAAAAATTTACTTAAATTTACTTTATTTTATTTACTTAATCAGTTGACGGGAATTTGTTGGTTGATGACTCGTTTACTTAATTAAAAACAGCCAACCTCTCATCTTAAGGGGTGGCGCAAATTATTTGTGACCGAAATCCTTCGTGGGAAATGTACATTTACTCACTCAGGACTGACTTTTCGATCGTCATTTTATCTCTGTTACAATCGAATCCTACTTTGGCTCGTTCATCACTGCATTTGTCCTAAAAATTTCCAATAAAATCGATGATTCCACTCTCTTAATCAAGCTGTATGTTCATCCAAAGAAACTACTTGAGTTATTAAAGCCGAACAATTCAAAACGAAATCAGAACTATAACTTTCTCTTGAATGGCGATTCATAATGTATTGTTTCGTTACTACGAGTCTTTTTAAGCAGAAACTGAATATTTGAAATACATTAACTCAGGTATGAGAATGCAATTAGCTGTTATAACAGTGGCGAGTCACGAGTACTTTAGAATTGAAAATTCCCTTGTAGGAAGTATGTATGAGATGTACACAGATGACCTTAAAATAGACCATTTGGAATACCCGATAACTGTTTTCCTTTAACAAAAAGTTAGATGCAAAATCATACTAGCCTGGAGTGGTGAGCCAAATATTTGCATACGTGATATTTTGAGAAACTCAACCGAGATTTTTGCCTTCGGCAGCGTAATCTTGGTTTGTGAGGGAGAGACAAGGGAAAGTGGTGATTCTTGATTCATCACCTTACAATAGAAAATTTACCAAATTTTTCGTGAACTATGAAGACACTAGTAAAATACAGTGTTTGGTTTAATTTGATAACATAATCATGATAACACAGCGTTCGTTATTTGACGGCTCATTTACTTCGTAAATTTTAATCTCTCATTCAAGCAGCACGGATTATTCATGTCTGGACATGTCTGAATTCCCATCGTGGGAACGAAATAGATTTTTTCCTGAAGGACTGGTATTGTTATTGTCACTTCATCGTTCGTATTACTCGATATTCAATTGGGTTTGTTTCCCATCACATTTCTT